GTATGTCTGTGCGTCACGATACACCGTATGGGATCGCACAGTTCAGGAAGACATGGCACTCGGGCTCAATACCAGGACTCCGTGAACCAGGTGAGACTCGTGTGTGGATGGTTGTTACTGGATGAAGTGTGGCTGGAATGAGTAGGGAAGTTTTACATCTTACGTACGTCATTCGCGCTTCGTGCTTCTAAAACAAATTTTCCTTATGCACCACGGAATGAGTGAGTGAGACTTCAGACATTGTACCCATGTCGGGAATCGAACCCGGGTCTTCGGCGCGACGAGCGAACGCTTTAACCACTAGGCTACCCGACCACGGGATGAAGCTGCCACTTCACATGCTTGTTCCCATCAACCACGACACCCGTATTTGTTCACGACACCCGTATTTGTTCACGACACCCGTATTTCACGACACCCGTATTTGTTCAAGAGGTTCGAATCTGATTTTCGATTTTGACGCCCTGTCAGCTTGTATATTGAAAAACCTATGTACCGCCATAATTTTACTTGGTCCTATTTGTTCAGAATGCAATGGGTGTTGGTATTTGTTTAGTTTTAACACATACTTTCCGTTTTTCGCAATATATTCTAATTTGGTCTCTGATTTGACCATGCTCTTAAATTATCTCAAATGGCATATTTGGCTTAGGGAGCTGAACTTTGGCATGCGTGTTTCACCTTTTGATGACCCGTGAAGATCGGGGTAGAATAGGTCTTCAGCAACCCTTGCTTGCCGTAAAAGGTGACTATTTCTGTCGTAAGAGGGCGGTCGAGTAGCCTAGTGGTAGCCCAAGACCCGGGTTCGATTCCCGACATGGGTACAATGTGTGAAGCCCATTTCTGGTGGCCCCGCCGTGAAATTGCGGGAATATTGCTAAAAGCGGCGTAAAACCATACTCACTCACTCACTGTCGTAAGAGGCCACTAACGGGATCGGGTGGTCAGGCTCGCTGACTTGGTTGAAGCATGTCATCGTATCCCAATTGCATGGATCGATGCTCATGATGTCAGTCACTGGATTGTCTGGTCCGGATATGATTATTTACAGACCGCCGTCATCTAGCTGGGATATTGCTAAGTGCGGTATTAACCAACAAACAAACAAACTTCATGATGACATATTTTGTTCAAATCATCAGACTTTAGTTTTGGTTATAATCCCCAATATTCATGCAAAAGTTGTGAATAACCCTGTCAGCTCCAGACAATCGATCCTCGCAGTTTCATGCTTAAACAGTCACCGAGCCTGACCACCTGATCAAGTTTGTCGCCACTGATGACAAGCATGGGTTGATGGAGATCAACTGTTACTCAGATGTTCACGGTCAGTGAATGATGTGTTTGTTATCAACTTGTCGCAGGGTCAGGCTTCTAGTCGGCCCAGACAAGTATACGAAGGCAGAGTGTCAATAAAGGTATTTATTTGCCTGTAACATGAAACGTCAACATGAGAAAGGTGTTGATTGCTGTCGGCCAATCTTCCAGGCTGACAGCTGACAATTGACTGTCCATATTATATGACGATATATATAATAATGATAGGAGTAAAATAGGCAATATATATATATAAGCGCTGATTGGCTATGCATGCTAGTGCCTTTATAAGGAGATAATATACTGACGTCACATTTATGGCGCGAAGTCAGTGATCCATAAAATTGTTTTGGATGTAATATGGTATTAAAATATGAAACATATATACATATAGTAGTATTCCTTTTCACACACTGTCTTACGTGTTATGCTAGTAACGTCATTAAGTTAGTAATAGCGATTAGCGCAATGTTTACAATATACGCGATCGATTCTTTACTAGTGTGTGAGTTAAAGTTTAACGTCACATCGGCAATATTTCAGCCATACAGTGACGAAACAAAATTTGACATCAACAATATATTTTAAACTGTATAAAATTCCGCCGACAAAGGGTAGTATAATAACTAGAACATCACAGATTTACATAAAACTAGTTAGAGAACATGTACAAATATATTATCATTTTGCAACACAATATAAAAACAGGCTATAGATCGCCAACAACTGAAGGTAGATCACCACGCTCGAGTCCATGAGGATTCCTTACTAACTTCCTTGAAGTTACATTACTTCATTGGTTAGTAAGTACTATATTCGACGTACTTGATACACTAGCAATAAGATATAGATGTAGAAGGCATATATAAGGGAGGTGCTTACCTTTAACATGGAACGTCAACATGAGAAAAGTGTTGATTGCTGTCGGCCATCCTACCAGGCTGAGAGGTGACAATTGACTGTGCATACAAATTGTCATGACGTCACAGGTAGAAGCCAGGTACGGGTAGCACGTACAACTCATTACATGCAGACAGTGGAGGAGTGGCATTAAAATGGATGAAAATAGAAATAAGGCTGCCGGCGACAAACTTAAGGTGTATTACTCCAGGGAACTTGAATACAGTATAACTGTTTATTGGTGAACTAATTTAGTTGATATCTGACGGCGACTCTTTGCTTGTGTTGCAGAGCCTGGCCCGTTTGATGACAGAACACCAGGAGCAGGGTGCGTATTCTTCTTATCACCTAATTCAAGATGATACCGACACATCCTCCCCCTTCACTTAAATTTACGTCGGTGAAGGGCTGTTTTATACCTCGTGCTTAAGTTGCAAAGAAAAATAGGATCTCATTCATATCCGATCTTAGTGCTCGCTACCGACACACAAAGATGAGGACATTCAATTACAGGGCCCACTTGCACAAAGCGATCTTAGCGCTACGATGATATTAGCTCCGATACTCTGGGCCCAGAGGCTGCGGGTCAGTAACAGCGACATTTAGTATATGCATAATGCGTTAAACTTATGGACGGCCCTTTGCTACGGTACAGGGGACGTTCTAACTCAAACTAACAATTTCAACGATTAGACATCGGGTCATAGTTCTCAAACCTACACATAATCATCTAAAAAATACAATTAGTCAGTCCATGCAGGTCATGAACGTATATTGAGCAATATTATTGGGTCGTCTTCTCCGACGTCCGCTCAGTCACCACCTATTTCAGGTATACAGACTCTGCCAACAGCAACTGGTATTATACGATGAATATTTGAAATTGTGGACGGGAAATGCATTTTTATATTGTATATAAGAAAAAAAGGCATAATTGTTTCTATTATTTATTTAAACTCGGTTATTTGGCTTTTTGTCATCATTGGTTTATCAATGGAAGCCAGCTTCTCTTGAAAAGCATCCACTTTGAGATCAGCTGATGACTAACTTAATGAGATTAATGCAGGTGTTGAAAGTCTCGTACGGAAGATCCCTCAGACATGTTCGTCATGGACATGAGAGCGAAGCTCCGTTCTAGATGCAGAACCTGGCCCTCAATGTTCGCTACGCATCTAAGAACAGGGACACCACAAGCCAGCTCAGAACAGGGACACCACAAGCCAGCTCTGTGTGTCAAAGGGTGCTCTCACAGGACATGATTCACATATATGTTCTTATCATCAAATAAATATGTGATATAAGGTCTTGTTTGAAATATATATATATACAATAGAACATCCAGAACATCTACTGCTTGAGTAGGGCCATAAACAGCTGAAGAACAAAACAATGACTCCTGCACTTACTGTCTGCATGTTTTTTTCTTGTAAAAAAGCATTACGACAAAACCACTTTCCCTATTGGCAGACTCACGACCCTAAGAAGATCGAACTCCCCAAAGAAGAGAACAAGTAACTCAGCAATATTACAGCTATATGACGGCGGTCTGTAAATGATCGAGTCTGGAACAGGCAATCCAGCGATTGACATCATGAGCATCAATCCACGCAACTGGGATACGATGATATGCATAACCAAGTCACAGAGCCTGACCACCTGAACCCGTTACGACTAGGACAGTCGCCTTTTACCTACATTAAAGACTTTTGGAAACAACTGCAGGTCTCGTTCATTGTTCACACCGACCATCGGCCGAAACACATTCCATTTGGCATAAGAGGCGACTAGTGGTGAATATTTATTGAATGGTAAATCGGTAATGGTGGCAATATTGATCTTCAAACATTGGCCTGCGACATTGGCAAACAAACAAACAAACAAACAACAAACAAACAGACCCCACTATAAACCCAACAAAAGATCAAAATGAAACATCAAGTATACCTGCCCGTCAATATACGCGCTTATGTTTTCAGATGTTGTCAAGCTGCAGCAGGAATTTGTTGCCGCAGAAGCCACGACTGCCAAACCTGCCGCCCATTGTGGCATACGTCTAACGAATCTTACAGGTACGAGTTACACTATCGTTAAAGTAATAATTGATTGTTTTAAGAATTAGAAACAAAGTTAGCTTATTTCTGATTCTTAAGGCTAAGTAAATACACTATCTATATACTACATTCTCTGTAAATATGTGAACGACTGGTTTCGGCATACAGGAGATGTTCCTGTGCTATCCTGGGATGCAAGGTCTTCCGTGTCGTTCTTTCAGGAAGGGATGACGTATACAGAAGGAGCAGTGATAGTTCCCAGTGCGGGGTACTACTTCGTATACTCACAGGTAGATGTTCCCTCAGGTTATGTGTGTGTGTGTGTGTGTGTGTGTGTGTGTGTGTGTGTGTGTGTGTGTGTGTGTGTGTGTGTGTGTGTGTGTGTGTGTGTGTGTGTGTGTGTGTGTGTGTGTGTATGTATGTGTGTATGTATGTGTGTGTGTGTGTGTGTGTGTGTGTGAGAGAGAGAGAGAGAGAGAAAAAAAAAATGCGTGCGTGTGCGTGTGAGAGAATGCTTGTGTGAGCGAGAATGTGTCTGCGTCTGAGTATGTGTGTGCGTGTGTGAGAGAGACTGTGTGAGAGTATGTTAGTGAGAGTGTGAGTATGTGTATCTGTGTGTGTGTGTGTGTGAAAGGTGCACATTTTATGATAGACAGTCATTATGGTATATGTTCATGGAGATTCGTATACTTATTTTACATCACAATTCCTCGTTACTCTCTGCAGTTGCTATACAGTGGCAGCGGAACCCAGGAGTTAGACTATGGGCGGATCATTCACGCAGTGGTGAAACAGAAGGCGTCAGAGCTGGAGGAAGCACCAACACCCCTGATGAGGAACCTACAGTCCACCCCCAGCATCAGACGGGGACGTCCCGCCTACACCACCAGCAGCCTCGGGGCCACCTTCTACCTGGAGGCCCACACCAGGGTCAAGGTCATGTCCAGTGTTCCCGGGAACATCATCTACTCCCCTTGTTCGAGTTATTTCGGACTTTATCTGGTTTAGCGGGTCTCTGGCATGGAACCTCCACGTGGTGGACCTGGATAGGTGGGGAAACTCTCACCGAACTAGTACCTGCCATCACCTGATTGTCACCGTATGTTCTTTAGTATGGTAGAATTTAGACAAAGTATATTCTTCACGATTGAACTGCTATCAAGTCTCCAGTGTTCTTTCTGTTCCATGAGACACCAGGGCATAGCAGTCAGTGAGCTCTTCATTAGCCAGGTGCACCACCGGGGCTCTTCACTCATAGATAACATCTTACACATTGACTGCATTTGAATGTTTGTAATCCGTCGTTTCATCGATTGAGTACAAAGCTAATTCAGAGGTCTTAGCGAATTCTGAAAAACGGAAATGACGGACCGCCAGCTGTGGTCTTTCCTCGAGAATTGTGAACAACTAACGTCATGCATGTATCTTGGATATCAACCCTACGCTGTTTGCAATGATCCGTGCTTTGTACATCCAAAAATAGTTCTTAGTCATTTGAATGATGTGGCAATCCGTCAAATGTATGGTTTTGTTCGTGTTGAGTCCCGTACAGTTCTGTCAACATCGGAAGGCAGTGTACGTAGCCCAGGAAACAAATCACAACGGTTGTTGCTACTGGCTGCCTTGCATGACGGAATTTAGTGACAACAAGGGATAAGTACACATTGTTACACGCAGAAATGGTTTGACGTCGTCTGTGAATATACTTCTAGTGAGTGAGTGAGTTGGGTTTAACGCCTCTTTTAACAGTATTCCAGTTATATCGCGGCGTGTCAGCTTAATGTGGGAGGAAAGCCCGAAGTGATGCAGGTCTCAGACGTTTACCACTTCGGTGAAACCCACGAGCACGGGTTTTAATATAGTTCCAAATGAAATACAAACAGTGGGATAGTGTAGCAAAGCCTTGATAGGCGAACCATTCACGCTTGAGGCTCGTGTGCCTGACTTTCGTTTCATTGTGTAAACAATACTGCCAGGCACAGGCACAGGCACATGCACAGGCACAGCCACAGGCACAGGCACAGCCACAGGCACAGGCATGTATTTCCCACTGCCTGTCGGTTGTGCCTAAGAATATATGACTACCGTGTACCCCTTAATGAAGAAATTATATTCCGTTCGAATCTTCTGATCTAAAAGTCTAAGGGTCCTGAACATTTCCTAGAATGTTTAGAATAGCGGAAGAAACACACCATGAAGTGTCCATAGCAACTGAAAGTTGAATTTCATTCTTAATCATACCAGTAATTTCGAGCACATGTATGTTTCAGCATAAACAGGGGTCAGACATCAAACACACTGTAGGCCACAGGGAAATATTTATTTCAAATTCCTTACCTATCGCGCTGGTTTAGACAGGATTATGTATATCTGGAGCTGATGGACTGGTTTACAAAACAGCGCCATACCCATGACATATCCAATCACAGCGCCATACCCATGATATATCCAATCACAGCGCGCATACTCAGGACAATCTAGAATTTTGGAAGAATCCCGCCAACTTCCCTAATGAGTGATACAGTTTATATACAGAACCAGGAAGGGCTGCCCAATAAGCAGTTGTTACTTCCGTACCTGACTGTAGTGCGTTATCGCGTGTGATAAGCTATCAGCAAATGCCTATAAAAAGTATATCACCATAGTGAGACAGACGTTTGTGAGAGTCCGCGAGACGCACAGCTCCCACGTGATCCGCGCGCCGTCTGGCGCAGCGATCCGTCGTTTACTTACTGCGCAGTTTATAATACACTATAGAACTTCGTCAGAGCTATAACGGGGATGATTGTTTAAAAGTGTAATCTGTCACGAGAAAACAGAGTTATTGTGCAAATCGACAGCAAACAATCGTTTGGAAGTACTCGCAATGGGGATACATCACTACCTAAATTCTCGTGTTAACTTCACATTAATTCCTTTATTTATTAGTTTCGTGTACCCTCTTAATATTTCGCATCTACTGTTTCACACTTAAAGCACCACTCCATGCCCAAATGTAGTGGCATTTGACGAAAAGTATTACAAGGAAGATTTTATTTTACATCTCTTATTCAAATCATAACCTGCGTTGTACATACATACAGCCTGTATTTCCACACTGTGTATATGGGTCTGTCGTTTGCTGGCCAACATCATGTTTTTTTGTATTAAACATCGCCACCTCTGTTGTCTTATTTTGTTCTTTCCATTCAATGTTGTCGTCATTGAAATTATGCAAAAATAACAACCACAGTCTTGCAAATATAATATGACAGTTGTGTGAAATATATCAACAATTATATACATTTTCAGGGTGTTCAGAAATAAACATACAACCTAACAATGAAAGGGAAAGGTACTCACATGTGTCTCTACATAGTTCAAATATAGCAGGCAGTAAGGTGAGAACCTGGCAGCATGGAGGTCCAATACACACTGGTGAGCATGTGCTTCAAAATGCATGAGCTTTGAAGTGGTCGTGACGTGATTATATTTTCATTTGACCACCATGGATAATAAGTTAAAATCAATTGTAATAATTTCATTTCATGTCATTTCATTTCTAACAGTTCATACTTTACGATAGGAAATCTTGTGTAATGCCAAAGTGCTTGCTTATGTACTGCGGGAACAAGTTTCACTAACCAATATTGAAAACTACCAACATCCCTGTTCTTTACCAATGACGTTGCGTGTAGAGATGATAGATCCCTAAGAGGAGATTATGCACTCCCGATGACCCCAGCAACCCTGTTTCATGGCATTGTTTTGCCGGTGGATCTTCCAACACAATTCAACAAATTTCGCCTTGGGGCATTGTGACGTCATTGTCAATTCTGTGATGCAGGGCTCCGTTCCACAAGGCGATCGTTGTAGACTATCTGGGCTGCTGCTCTATTGTGTAGTGTTTAAGTATGGGATTTATGATAACTTCAGCGCTGCGATAGCTTTGTTGAATGGAATCCTTAATTCTAGGTGGGCCGTTCTATGGTATTAAATAAATATGTGTTAATTTCTGAAGTGTTAGAAGTATGATTCTGTTAAACTCAATTGGATTAGGTTGTGGATCGTGTTGATGTCTGCCTATTCACACACGACAGTGATATTAAAAAATATATAAACGGCAAGTAATAAATAAAATACTAAACTCACTCCCGTGTAATACCAATTTTATATATTTGATATCATGTCACCATATGACGGCGGTCTGTAAATAATCAAATCTGGACCAGAAAATCCAGTGATTGACATCATGAGCATCTACTCATTTGAGATACGATGACATGCATCTCTCAAGTCAACGGGCGTGTTATTCCGTCTCCACCCAGGGCAAAACGTGGTGCTGGACAGATGGGCGAGAACCCGGGACCAACACTACTAACAGGACTTAGCTGAATCAGGTGCAGATTGGGAAATACGGAGCACTTTGAAATTGTGCAATTAATAATTGGGATTGGAATATCAGAGCTGAGCTGCAGAGACGAGGTAATGATCACAGCTCAGGTCCAGGAAGCATCGATCATCAGTACGCCCCAGCTACAAGGTGCACAGATACACCGGCTGACGTGCATCACATTATTAGAAATGGCCATGCATGTACTGTGGAAGGCACCACCCAGCTAATCGCTGTCCATCCAGTGGCAGTAAACGTGAATATTCGCATGGTCAGTCTCATAACATGACAATCTAGAGGAAAACATAAGACCTGAATATTCATAGTAAGTGACAACATTCAAAGCAGACGAACCAAAGAAAACACTTTTTGACTTTTGTGCAACAATACCATCATTTCTATAAAGTACAGCATTCCGTTTATTAAGATCAACTTCAAGTCTCCATTTAGACCAATAACTATGTGACACAATTAACTGTTCTTGCAAGTCATTTACACAAGAGGAACATATAACAACATTTTCAGAGAAGAGAAGGGTAAAATATCCCATGTTGGCAACTATTTAGCACCTCCATAGCAAGTTCTTTTATGAAAAAATATAAACAACAACGGTTTTAAAACACAACCTTGTTGTTCACCACTGGATTTTATAAAGCTGTCCGTACGTTCATTAGTTACCTTACTACTTGTACATGCATACATGTTTCTTAAAGGTACAGACAATTTACCATTTCATTTCGTTGTAGTGATTAAATACATCATTTTTTGTCCTATTAGCAAGAGCTTCTAAGGTCAATAAATACATAAATGATAACGTTCCTGGTTCAGCACAAATATTTGGAGCAAAGACTGAGTGAGTGAGTATGGTTTTACGCCGCTTTTAGCAATATTACAGCAATATCACGGCGGGGGACACCAGGAATGGGCCTCACACATTGTACTCATGTCGGGAATCGAACCCGGTCTGGTCTTCGTGTGACGAGCGAATGCTTTATCCACTTGATTACTAAACCGCCCCTCTTTCAAAGGAAGTTGGATGGTGCTTTTGAGGGTTTGGAACATGGCTAGCACTACAGATGAACACGATGAACACGAGACAAACGCTCCAGGGAGCAGGGAGAAGAGTATCAGGAGAAGACATGCCCGATATGAGAGCTAACACATCATGGCTAGCACTACAGATGAACACGAGACAAACACTCCAGGGAGCAGGGAGAAGAGTATCAGGAGAAGACATGCCCGATATGAGAGCTAACACATCATGGCTAGCACTACAGATGAACACGAGACAAACACTCCAGGGAGCAGGGAGAAGAGTATCAGGAGAAGACATGCCCGATATGAGAGCTAACACATCATGGCTAGCACTACAGATGAACACGAGACAAACACTCCAGGGAGCAGGGAGAAGAGTATCAAGAGAAGACATGCCCGATATGAGAGCTAACACATCATGGCTAGCACTACAGATGAACACGAGACAAACACTCCAGGGAGCAGGGAGAAGAGTATCAGGAGAAGACATGCCCACTATGAGAGCTAACACATCATGGCTAGCACTACAGATGAACACGAGACAAACACTCCAGGGGGCAGGGAGAAGAGTATCAGGAGAAGACATGCCCGATATGAGAGCTAACACATCATGGCTAGCACTACAGATGAACACGAGACAAACACTCCAGGGAGCAGGGAGAAGAGTATCAGGAGAAGACATGCCCGATATGAGAGCTAACACATCATGGCTAGCACTACAGATGAACACGAGACAAACACTCCAGGGGGCCAGGGAGAAGAGTATCAGGAGAAGACATGCCCGATATGAGAGCTAACACATCATGGCTAGCACTACAGATGAACACGAGACAAACACTCCAGGGAGCAGGGAGAAGAGTATCAGGAGAAGACATGCCCGATATGAGAGCTAACACATCATGGCTAGCACTACAGATGAACACGAGACAAACACTCCAGGGAGCAGGGAGAAGAGTATCAGGAGAAGACATGCCCGATATGAGAGCTAACAAAGCACGATAACTTGTTCTGTTGGATGCCAGAGCATGAGGAAACTTTTCAAGAGATCAAGAATATGATCATAAATTCATATATTACGGTATTTTGACTCTAGAGACTGATGCATCGCAAAATGGCCTTGGAACGGTCATATCCCCTGTATAAAGGACAAGCAGATTTGGCATCAACAGCGATGACAGATTTGCCCAAATAGAGCAGGAGACGCTAGCCATTTTTTAGTTGTGAAAAGTTTCATTACTATCTGTTCGGAAGAAACGTCAACGTCAGGTCTGATCATCACCTGATAAAAGTTGTATTGAAGAAACCATTGCATGCTATCCCTCTGAGACTTCAGATCTATGATGCAGATGTAGAATTCACACCTGGGAAGAATGTTCCTCCAGCAGACATGTTTTCTCGATACTTCGTAGTATCAAACAAAGATGATCATCTCTGGATGACGGTATTCATTCATATGTACATGTGGTGACAAGCAAACTACCAATACCTGACAGACAAGAAGCTAGAACAGATTAGAAAAGAAACAAGTGAATATGATCAACATGTGATCCTTGCAAAGATGTGGCTTTATGTGATTGTTCAAGTAGCATCAAGGAATTTTGGAATTGACTGTTGTTGACAAAAGTATCATTCCTGTTTCCATGAGAAAAAAGTTGTTAGAAAGAAAGAATGCAGGCCATATGGGAATTTTGAAGTACAAGGATCGAGCCTGTGGTGTCATATTCTGGCCGCGCATGACAGTTGTCATCTCAAGAACTGTTGAGAATTGTGGCACTTGTGAAACAGTGCTTATTGTAGTTGATTACTACAGTCGATACAGTGAGATTACTAGCGAGCACAAAATTGATGGCAAAATCATTACTCACATGACGGTTATATTTGCTTGGCATGGTGTACCCCAAAAAATTGTGTCTGATAATGGGTTGCAGTGGAATTTAGACACTTTCTTCAAAAGTGAAACATTGAACATTAACCTTCTCATCCTCATATCCACAGGCAAATGGTCTTGCTGAGAAGTGGAGACGATGGAGCAACTGCTGATTAAGGTTAAGCAGAGTGGTGCTAATCCCTATTGGTCTCGACTTGCTTACCACAACACTCCACTACATGGTGAACCTTCTCTGCCCAGCTGCTCATGCGTAGACGTCTCAGGTCTGACTTATGCAGCAAACCAAATTTACTCAAACCAGAAAGTCGTGAACGTGTGCATAACGTGATGTGAGGTGGGGTGAAATGGGGTTTAACGTCGCGTCCAGGATTATTGCACTTATACAGCGACGTGCATGTATGTGTGTGTGTTTGTGTGGCTGCTTGTACTAGTCCGGACTGATGCCGATTTATAGTGCTAGTCCACTGAGATACCATGCCGCAGTTTAAAATGAATACCCTACTCAGACACAGTATACTGACCCCGAGCCGACCAGTCCTTGTTTTAGCCCCTTAATGCCGAGCGACAGACAGGGTAACAACAAGTACCATCTTTTAACGTATGACGCGTATGACGCAGCCGAGGATCGAACCCCGGACCTTCCGCTCTCCGGGCGGACGCTCTACCACTAGACCGGTCGTGTGCATAACACAATGGTGGATTCTAAATGAGTCGAATGCATTACTATGACAGATCATCACATCCAAGGAATGCTGCAGATGTACATGATATTATTACGGTGAGACAAGGAAAAAATGGATACCAGGTGTCGTTACAGGTTAAATATACTAACACGCCTCACACATATTATGTGGAAAGGATAGGTCAGAGTATTGTTGCAACAAGAGAGACTTGCAGTCCACTAAGGACACTATCTTCAATGTACCTGGAGACAATCTGGAGACAATCTGGAGGCAATCTGGAGACAATCTGGAGACAATCTAGCGACAATCTGGAGACAATCTGGAGACAATCTAGCGACAATCTGGAGACAATCTAGCGACAATCTGGAGACAATCTGGAGACAATCTAGCGACAATCTGGAGACAATCTGGAGACAATCTGGAGACAATCTAGCGGCAATAGTCATGTTGAGCAAACCCTCCTCGATGCTGCTCCACATCCGGTCATCAGACCAATGATGAACCCACCAAACCTTTGAAACCTATTGCCTACTCATCCAGTGGTCGGGCAATATTTAAATCATCAAGACTGTGACAGTTTATTTGAAATAAATTTATTATCGTCAGCCTGACATTTAATTTGAAGTTTGGGCAATGTCTAATGACCAGAAGATTTGGGCCACATGAGAATGGACATGGCTGTTCTACTCTTTCAATTAGTGTTTTGAACTTGTGAAAAGGAGTGCATGAAATATCTTCATTCCGAGTAACTATCATGGCTTTGTGTGTGACAGTTTGCTCTAGTGTGCTGATGTATCTTTTGTGTTTAACGCATTCGCGATGGGTCATGTCATACCATGTTTGATGCCACCAGAAATACCCTTGATGATACCGAGTCATCCTGATATTTTCTTGTATGGTCAGTACAAAACAAATATGACAAGCGCTTATAATAGAAAGCCCAGGACCAGACTGGAATGTTTTAACCTGAAACTGACCTCACATCCCAATAATTTTAGATGATTTATCAGTAAACGGTTCTGACTAGCTATCGGTGAATTATTCGTCTTCATAAAATTGTCATGGTCCCACAAGCAGGATAAGCAGGCCAAGAGATTATTACACCAAGCAGTGCCTAAAAGTGACTCCAGCAAGTCTGATAAGTGAACGTCTCAATGTACAGTTCTCCCCAGCCAACAATGTAAGGAAACAAGAAACATTCTACACTCAACAAAATGCTTCAAATGGCAGACAACAGAGTCAACAGTTCAAGGTTAAACCAAAATTCTACTGTCTTTCATGTGTATCAGCTGAGCATTTTCTGAATACATGCCCAAAGTTTAAGAAGTTTTCTGTTGTAGAAGTTAAATCTTGGTTGAGAGATCGATGTTTTAGAAAACATAAACCAGAGGGCTGTAACTTAAAGACACCGTGTCAACAATGAACCGAGTGACTGCCCTGCATGATGCATGCAGACATACGACTGCACATTAGGTGATGTTTTCGACGACATCTTCACCATCTGCGCAAGTTATTATGCGAAGCTTATGGGATCCACTGTGCTGACAACCACTCAGCTTGAGCTATATCTGTGCAGTGGACAGTCTATGAATCTTAGGGCATCTGCAAAAGATATGCTGGAAACAACACACAATTTGATGAATGCCTGATCAAGCAACGTGTCTTTATCTGATTATACATATGCAACAGAGAACTGTAGACACAGTGGGCACATACGAGATACTCAAAATGAATAAAATGACAGTGAAAAGAATGAAGAACTTAGCAAAAATGTTGAAAACAAATATGTTTGAAATAATGATGTGCACATGAGAATATTAATAACAAATGGAAAATACTCAGTGGAATATTTTTATTTGTTTTTTATTACTTCGGTTTTGATGGTACACAAGCAAATATGGACTAGTTTCATAAGTATTGGGTGTACATGAAAAGAATATATAAAGTGAGACAATATCATTATGAGGGCTGGTCAAAAGGTCTAAGTCTGACTAAGTTTCAACTCTGGGCCATAACAAAGATCTTGTGTGGATAAAGGAATTTTGACAAGCACGAATATCTGGACTCTGTTTTATATATATACATATATACACATAGTTTAACCCCTGGGTGTCAAAACGGTCATGGAACAGAAGCGTCACTAAAACATGTTGGTGCTAATGGGAGATATTAAAACATGTTTTGTGATATATCTATAATCTGTTTGGTGTTTTGACGGAGAAGAGTCACTACCAGTTATCTCTGTGTGGCAAATGAGCACACAATACCATTTAGAAAATGGTCAAATGTAACAAATGTTATATTTAGGATAACACTTTCTAAGTAAAGTACAGATTCTCGTACCTTTTTTTATTGGGTCCCGGATGGGACTCAACCAAAAAATTACGAGAATCTGCATACAATCCTTGATACAATCAAGGATCGACTTTCTTTATCCCCTTCTTGCGGATCTGTTTCTTTATGCATAAGAATCGGAATTTCTGCTCGGATTGGCAAAGTCAAAACTAGGTAATGTTGCCAAGAAGCCTCGGGTATGTCGATGAGCTGATTTCGTGTGTGTCACAGTTCACAGTGTAGGTCAACTCCTGCCCTGTGTGTCGCAGTGTAGGTCCCACTGAGCATGAATCTTCCCACCAAGATTTCAAAGAACGTCACACGACTCTTACTCAGAAGCTGTTTGATCGTGTTACAACATTCAAGGCCTCGACTATCAGTAAAGTTTGATGATGGACATGTGAACAAAAACTATGTCCGATGCAATTACCTATTTTAACTTTTACAATATGGTCCAATAGTTTTTTCAGGTAAATAATTGCCTTACCTTTGCATGTGTTTGTGACGCAACCGGTGGGGTAAATTACGATTTGCCCATGAAAAACTGCTTTTTAAAGCGCCAAGTACTGAGCGACCAAACCTTGCCTCGTCTAGTTTTAGTTATGTGATAATTATAGTATAGTACTTTGATCGGGTTAGTAAAATTTCGACCCGTGAAGATCCGGGGTAGAATAGGATCCATGCTTGTCGTAAGAGGCTACAAAGGGATCGGGTGGTCAGGCTCGCTGACTTGGTTGATGCATGTCAACATATTCAAAATGCGTGGACCGATGCTCATGATGTTAATCACTGGAGTGTCTACTTCAGACAAATTTTTTTAGACCGCCTTCATATAGCTGGAATATTGCTGAGTGCGGCGTTAAACAACAAACAAACAAACAACATAATTCAGAAGCATATGTTGAGATTTAAACAGTTAGTAATTATTGTTTCATGTGGTTCACGATTAGTAGTCATGTGTGCATTTTAGGAGTTAGTAAACAGCGTGTGCCTGCATGCGTGTGGGAGTGTGAGTGCGTGTGCGTGTGCGTGTGCGCGTGTATCCCTCGTGACACCCAGGGGCTAATGTTATCTATGAACTGACTTATAATATAAATGTGATACATGCCAATTAGATACAAATCGCTTATTTTCTAAAGGGAGCGAGCAATTCCGAATAAAACGTCTAGGAAACAGCGAGAGAGAACAAATTCGCGATCTAATCGGAAACAGAAACAAGCATGAGACATATGGGGAAGAAAGAAACGATTGGGGTCTTCGTCGTGAGACGTAGAACAAACTGAAGGAATAACATGACAATGATCGCCCACGCCCAATGGAATCTGAACACATCCGTCTCCTATGTTCATTATACAAGAAAAAGTCCGAAGTACGTGTCGTAGGGGGAGGTGTCGATGTTGTCGGGCACACTGCTGGTGACCTTGACCCTGGTGTTGGCCTCCAGGTAGAAGGTGGCCCCGAGGCTGCTGGTGGTGTAGGCGAGACGTCCCCGTCTGATGCTGGGGGTGGACTGAAGGTTTCTCATCAGGGGTGTTGGTGCTTCCTCCAGCTCTGACGCCTTCTGCTTCACCACTGCGTGAATGATCCGCCCATAGTCCAACTCCTGGGTTCCGTTTCCGTGATACAGAATCTGCATGAAAACGCCAAAAACACTGACACACAGAGAAACATTTCACAGTCAGAGAAACGATAAGGTTACCTCTTCTCTACATGCGGCAGTATTGACGTTGTTATGTTCTGGTTACTCATTTCATATACGCCTGTGAAGATGTCTACACTGCGAATACCTCGTATCATTACTATTCACAGTGATTCATAGACACTTTCCAGACGAGCGTTGATGAATCATGTCAATAGAAGATCAAGTTGATTAAAATTTAAACAGCGCATTATGAAACAGGAAGATGCACTTTTGTAATTCGACTGAGTGAAGCTTGTCATTTTAATTACTTTTCCACATTTACATGTATGCAATATGTATAAATACCATTAGTCGAACAAACTGTGTTCCTCTTGTAAATATAACAACTGATGATGAGTAGTACGTATTGAGACATACCACCAGCTATGCAATGACGTCAAACCAATGGCACTTTTCGACTAACTCAGATGATCCAAAATAGAAGATGTTTCGAAGGTTGTATAGTGACAGTGTTGATATTTAGTTGATTTTAAGTAAAACGTAGACTAAAGTTAAATGTCTCGGGACATTATTAAACATGTCTAATGTTTGTGTCAATTCACCAATAATCAGGAAAGCAATCCTGCAACGAATAAAAATATAGAGACAATATGTTTCAAACTGTTATAATAAAGTGTATTTTCAAGCTTATTGAGTATTTCCCGTAAATGATTTGAATAACTGTGCGATAAATCTATAACAAACAATAATTTATAATGTCTACCATGATGTATTTATATCGAGACATCTGCCCGGTGGCATAATTCTGTTTATCTTCGTGTCAGCCTACCGTGCTGTAGATGAAGAAGTAGCCCTTCTCTCGGACTATGACGACGCCGTCCCTGTACTCAATACTTCTGCCCACGTGGGACAGACCGGAGTTCGGGTTCCACCTCAGCGTTACCTCCTCGTCTAAACACAATTACGTCAGACCCTGCATTAACCTGACAGTGTGTGTCTTTGGCAGTAGTGAGTGAGTGAGTGAGTGAGTGAATGAGTATGGTTTTACGCCGCTTTTAGCAATATTCCAGCAATATCACGGCGGGGGACACCAGAAATGGGCTTCACACATTGTACCCATGTTGGGAATAGAGCCCGGGTCTTCGGCGTGACGAGCGAACGCTTTAACCACTAGGCTACCCGACCGCCCCTGGCAGTAGTGAATTTGTTATGGCAACAAACACACTCTTACTATTGTATGTAAATTGTTTGGGTGGCGGGTGCTGCCAGTAGGGTAGGACATGCTTGTCCTATTTGATAATACCTGGTGTCATCACTGATTTTGACAGACGGACAGAGTAAAAACATAAACACGTCCTCATCAAATCCATGAGATTTGAAAGCATCATTTACGGCCTTGGACCAGCATTTTATTTATTAATAAGTTGACAATTTTTGACATAGTATCATTTAGGTTATATTTCTGTAAATATTGTAGCATATTATATATCGGAGATTTTCTAATCTATTCCTTGCAAGTAAACTATCTGTACTCATATATTGACCCAGGCGAACTAAAAACATTACTTTAAAAACGCAGTTATACTTTGCATTACATAGCTTTCCTGAGAAGTAGAGTGCTCTTGTATCTATGTAATACTGTAGTAGCATGATGCCGATAGCATCCAATACAACAATACTGGGACTGCGCCTGTGTAGTCCCTGAACCTATTTACACAATGGACGCTGTACAACCTCAGGCATGCCATACTCTTTAAGAGGGACTTTGCCCCATACACTGCATCCATAGAGGCCACATGATAAGATCATTCTATCCCAGATACGTGCTGCAGATATAGGATTCAGACCACATGTATCTCTTCACATTCAGATTTTGTAAGTTCAATTGATAATTTGTGTGAAATAATATATACATCTGTATAGTGAATGTTTTATCTGGAGTTGGCGTTATGTAGTTATGAAGAACACTACAATGACAGATGAATGGGCGTTGAAATATACAACCAGAGGGTCGGCAGTGAAGTGTGGAACTACAGGGCGAGCTTCAGTGACGTATTTATAGATACTCACTGCTTGGGGAGATCACCGTTGAGATGACCAAGTGAGCGGCAGGCTTTTGAAGATTTGTCCCATTTCCTTCATAGGCGCTGTGTAAGCTGGCCTGTCTTTCGTAGATGTCTAGTTGAACATTGATGAAAACCATGACAAAACCATGACAATAACAGGACAATAACTGCCTTATCGTAGACAGTGGCTCTTATATACAGGAAACATCAATTGGTGCTCAGAGAATTGGTTTCCGTATTATTCAAATATTTATATTTATTGATGTTTTCATTGTTTCTTCTAATGTAACTTTCGTGACAAGACAAGTGATTGCAGGGAGCGATGAGAGTGTAACTGTCCGTGATGAAGATCAGAAGACTCGTCACCAAAAGGAAGGTTTCACTCGTCACATCGTTCTCCGTCACATCACGTTTCGTCACATAACAGGCGGTTTAGCGTGGTTCAAACCTCGTGGTTTGAGCCGAAATACAGGGATCTGCCTCCATTTTATCATCTAGCTTGAACATCTCTTGATGCGACACATGCCGATAATCTCATAAACAAAGCGACAAGATTCAAGAACGACCGTATGAGGAAGTACCGTGGTATAATCATCGTATGTTAACTTTGCTTCTCAGACGCATCGTATCAGGAAAACTGAGCGCGTGACAATCGCGTCTGACCATGGCACGGGGTTGATGTACTTATACTCCATTTTGGCTGTGTTACATGTTACAAGCTCCAATAAGGTCGGAAGGAAATTGCCAATTGCATTTGTCACTAGATAAAGTCTTAACACTGACGGAGTCTAATATCCAGAGAGGCACCATTTGAACAGGTCCAAACCTCTGGGAAATATTAACAAAAGGAATGTGATAAATGTGGGCTGCTATCTCAGCGTGTAACCTGTTTCATACATGGCTACAAGCGATGGAAGTGAAGGGTTAGCAAAAACTTACCTGATTCTTGAGAGTTGCTGACGGCCTCAAGTGTCTGTAATATTGTAATAAACCCTTTCAGGAAATTAACAACACCGCAATTATTTGTTATGTTCTTGCTTTATTTTCGGTTTAGTTGAGGGAGGGGAGTCGAGGGGAGGGGAGGGGAGGGGAGGGGAGGGGAGTCAAGGGGAGGGGAGGGGAGTTGAGGGAGGGGAGGGGAGGGGAGGGGAGTTGAGGGGAGGTGAGTCGAGGGGAGGGGAGTCAAGGGGAGGGGAGGGGAGTTGAGGGAGGGGAGGGGAGTGGAGGGGAGTCAAGGGGAGGGGAGGGGAGTTGAGGGGAGGGGAGTCGAGGGGAGGGGAGTCAAGCGGAGGTGAGTCAAGGGTAGGGGAGGTGAGTCGAGGGGAGGGGAGGGGAGTCGAGGGGATGGGAGGGGAGGTGAGTCAAGGGGAGGTGAGTCAAGGGGAGTCGAGGGGAGGGGAGTCAAGGGGAGGGGAGGTGAGTCGAGGGGGGAGGGGAGGTGAGTCGAGGGGTTGGGTGGGGAGTCAAGGGGAGGGGAGTTGAGGGAGGGGAAGTGAGGGGAGTTGAGGGGAGGGGAGGGGTGGGGAGTCGAGGGGAGGGGTGGGGAGTCGAGGGGAGGGGAAGTGAGGGGAGTTGAGGGGAGGGGAGGGGAGGGGAGGGGAGGGGTGGGGAGTCAAGGGGAGGGGAGGGGAGTTGAGGGGAGGGGAGACGAGGGGAGGGGAGGGGAGTTGAGGGAGGGGTGGGGAGGGGAGTCAAGGGGAGGGGAGGGGAGTTGAGGGAGGGGAGGGGAGGGGAGGGGAGTTGAGGGAGGGGAGGGGAGTCAAGGGGAGGGGAGGGGAGTTGAGGGAGGGGAGGGGAGGGGAGTCAAGGGGAGGGGAGGGGAGTTGAGGGAGGGGAGGGGAGGGGAGTCAAGGGGAGGGGAGGGGAGTTGAGGGAGGGGAGGGGAGTCAAGGGGAGGGGAGGGGAGGGGAGGGGAGTTGAGGGAGGGGAGGGGAGGGGAGTCAAGGGGAGGGGAGGGGAGTTGAGGGAGGGGAGGGGAGTCAAGGGGAGGGGAGGGGAGTTGAGGGAGGGGAGGGGAGTCAAGGGGAGGGGAGGGGAGTCGAGGGGAGTCAAGGTGAGGGGAGGGGAGGGGAGGGGAGGGGAGTCGAGGGGAGGGAGTCAAGGGGAGGGGAGTTGAGGGAGGGGAGGGGAGTTGAGGGGAGGGGAGTCAAGGGGAGGGGAGGGGAGTTGAGGGAGGGGAGTCAAGGGGAGGGGAGGGGAGTCGAGGGGAGGGGAGTCAAGGGGAGGGAGGGGAGGGGACGGCAGGGGACGGCAGAGGACATGAGGGCAGTTGTTTCGTAAAGTTAATTCTCATGGCTACATTCGGCGTAGTAGGCCATGGTTCAGAAAGTAGGAAGGAGGGTGTGGGGACGGGATGTGGTGTGTGTGTTTGTGTGTGTGTGTCTGTGGGCGTGTGGGCGTGCGTTAGTGTGTGTGCGTGCGTGCTTTCGTGTGTTGGATCTAGACTAGATATCACTGTTTGAAAAGGTAGATCATTCAACGTGTCTTGATGAGAGCTTAAGTTCTGTTGATAGATTCTTGCAAAGTGTTGATTTACAGTATTGGAAAGATGTATGGCCCAAAGTCTTCAGCTGATGTTCACTTTCAGAACGGGGAAATCTATGTATATGGGTATGTTTTGGCACCAGTTGCAGTGGGGCTGATTCATTGAAGCACTTGTAGGCTGGTGCTCATAGTTTCAGTTCAACTATGTTTTGAGAGCAACCAACGAGCGACATCGGAGCAGGATGAAACTTTGACGTTCTCGTTTCGATATGTGCAGCTGTGTTGTATGCGCTGAAGCCTTTTGAGTTGTTGATTGGTGATGTCTACCATCAAGCTATTACAACAGTCACGCACTGACAGGACTGAAGATCTGACCAGGTGCAGCTCATTGTGAGCAGGTGTCAAGTGCTTCCTATGATGATATGAAACAAGTCTTGCAAATGTGGATTACATGCTATTTTATTTTTAGGCAGAAGTCCAGATGAGCCCCACCAGTATTAGAGAAAGCAGTGTTGGAGACCCCAACTAGAATGTCGTTAACTCTAATCTGTCCTGTTTCAGCTTTGACTTGCTTCCCACCAGCATCTTGTCGTTTTATCTCAGCTTGTTTTCAATCATCCACGACATGATTGTTCTCGGGTGATCTTTGGACGCCCTCGGGCGTAGCAGTAGTAGCTCGTGAGACATCTAGTTTTGATTTGACTCGTACTTTAAACTAGTATATAGCGTGAAAACAATTGGTCCGAGAACTGATCCTTGGGGAACACCACGCTGGAGAAGGTTGTTTGCATCCATCTGTGCCTTTTCAATCACTGGAGATATGAACGGTAAATTTGTTTTAGATTTTAGGTCTAACACAACCTTTCTTGAAACTTCGTGGAACTTCCCAAGATGGAAGACTTTGATTAATAATATTTGTTATGACAGGAAGTAGATTATCAGGATGATCGATCACTATCTGTGTTGGGGTAGGATTATGTCGGCAGTGATGTTGGTTTCCACTCCATAATCATTTTCCGTACATCTAACTCTGAGAATGGTTTATATTCCTCCATAATGATGCTATTGCAACTGTCATGCCAGTCAGGTCAGATCAAACGGAGACTCGCCACAAAAACCATCTGTGACGTCATTATTCATTGATTAGACAATTAATTAAATTAATATCAATACAGTCATTAATATTCTGGCCCATGCCAATCAAGAAGGCAATCTGAAGTGGCTACAAAGTGACAATTCCACACCCGGCTAAAGCATGGTGCCACGTGTTGTATTTATTTGATAAAACGTATATCATGTCAAACTGTAAATGCGTAAATTCCGAATGTTAGTCGATATAAGGACCTTTATCAAATGTCGTTAATGAGGGTCACGTATAAGCTGTCATGTCTCAATTCCCGCCTGAATTCATGTTCAGAATCTAAATTGCGTACACATTAACCACCATTCCAAGTTTAGTCGGGTACATGGGTCAAAATTCAATGTATTGGCCAGATGACAAGAGTTGTGTTGATTAAAGGACACTTAATTTTCTATATTATATGTGTATGTAAACCAACAAGAAAGTATACAAACACAATTTGAGAAAAATACACAATTTACGTGCAGAAGGTTGGATAGGGACTAAGTTTGATCACGTGTAAAATTACTTTGAAGCTAAAGGTTACTGCATGTGAAGCATGGTACCTTACATATAATATAACATAATCAATCTCTGCTGAAAGCAGACTCTGTTGTTTTATTATCACTTTACATAACGCAATGATACCAGTTGTTCACGCAGGTAAGGCAAGCAGAGCAATGGGATTGGTTCAGTTGGGGGCATGTCACGTCGACGTCGCAATAATCATGAACTGTATGAAAACGACGATCACCATGCTGATGTTGATGTGGCGTTACAGACCACGAAGTCGAGGACCCCGTCACAAACACATGCAAAGGTAAGTCAATTGATAATCTGACAAAAACACTGGAACCTATGGTACAAGTCAAAATGGGAAATTGCATCGTCCATCACTTTTTGTCACAGATGCCAAGGATTTGAAAATGTCTACCATAAATCTTTGTTCAAGCTGAACTGAGGCCTTGAATGTTGAAACTCTTGTGCAAGAGTGTGACGCACTGTATGCATAGATGTAAATATGAAACAGACGCGGCGGTCTCACTGGTCTCCTCTATTTCTAGTTCAGGTGGGTAAATCAGGGGAAGGAAATTGGCTATTTGATGATTATTGAACAATGTCTGATCATCGATATACCTGCAGTTTAATTTTGGGGGGCCAAATTACCTTGTTTTGACTTTGCCAATCCAAGCAGACGTCCGGGTTCATATGCATAAAGAGACAGATCAGCAAGCAAGGGATGCCTACTTCTTGCCTAAGTGTGTTCCCCCCGAAGATGTTGTCAATGTGGAAGTGCAGCATTTCACATATTGTTTTCACAGTAAACTTCAGACGGCATTTGCTTTCATGTTTGATAAATTGCCCTGAACCCTGGAAGATAGGCATGTAACTGTATCTGTGGTCACCACGTTCTGTAACAAGGAATGAAGTTTTCATTAAACTTTCCATGTGGAATAGTGGTGTATATAGTTGCAAAATGAAATGTTTTGACAGAAAAACCTGTTTTTTTATGAGACTGCAAAGAGTCAAGAATATCCTTTGGAGGTTTTCAGTATGCACATTGTATTGATTCCACTTGTCTCAAATACCTTCTGTGATTATAAACAGTCCTTCCTTGACCAATTAAGAGTTATGGATAATCTTTGAGACTGGGGTCTAAACGTCAAACGTTCCATGTATGAAGGTCACACCCCTGGGTTTTTTGTTGTTGTTTTGTTTTGTTTTGTTTTTTTGTTTGTTTGTTTGTTTGTTTTTTTTTTGGGGGGGGGGGGAGAGAGACTTTAGTCTTGTTCTTACTTTGTGAAATCCCATTGGTTCGTTAAAAAGGGGCAAGAAATCTCCCAAAATAATGGTATCCTTTGGCCTTCGTCCTTTCTGGTCACCATGGCTGCGACGATGTCTTTGATGCCGGACCGAGCCTCAATGCCTTGACGTGTGCAGTTCGCTGTATAGATAGACTACCAAGTCTTTTGTTTTGTCACAACATCCATATGGCATTGCTGTCGAATCCAATAACATGTTATAAGGTCTACTGTGTTTAAGGCTATTAGATGGATGATATATTTTCTCTGATATTTAAAATTTCTCGCATTTCTTTCTGAACCTTCTGCTCCTATAGGAAATTATCAACTTTAAGGAGAAAAGCAAAAATAAAAAGTGTCCTTTAAGATTGCAAACATTTTTACGTGCTTAAGGTCTGAAGAGCAAATTTTGACCCATCACTTCGTTTGTTTTCAGATCATTTTTATATTCAGCTATTGTGTCAATTTTAGAAATTTGTGTTACATGTTACGACAATGTCGGAATTGCAAGTATATCGTCGACGAGTATGTTTCAGAATCAAACTTGCGTTTGACTTCAGATTTTGA